AACTACTACTCTCTCTCTCTCTCTCTCTCTCGCTATATATATATATATATATATATAAAATATCTGTAGGGCTGGCAAAGGACCCCAGCCCTGGCCTTATTCCCTTGAGGTCCGACCCTGGCCTCATTTAGACCGGGCCAAATAAAATAACAAAAAAAAGATAAAGAAATAAGGGCTGGGCCAGTCTTATCTCTGCCTTGGACCTAGCCTAGGCCCAGCCCAGCCCTGCCCTTGGGTCATGGTGGTCCGGCCCTCAAGCCACAAAATGTGGTGCAGGCCCCAGTTTTTTTGGCAGAGCTGGGCCACCCCTAAATATCTGCCACTGAAAGATGAGCAAGAAGGTTTCTATCTCTCTACTAAAAATTTTCAACTTCGTTTCAGTAATCTTATGGAACTAATTTTGGCTTTTTCATTCATTTTAAAATCAGTACCATTCTAGTGGTTTCCCATGAACCAGCAATGTAGTTACCTCAAACAAGCACTAGTAAAGCAAAGCCCTCTAGTTTAAAAATTTATGTTTTTTTGTGTTGTGGCAGCACTAAACTATTACTGAAAAGAAAATATATATCATAAAGGTCTACAGTACCTTTAAGTCGTAGCCAACCATGCATCAATTCATGAGCCAGAATAGAACCTGTTAACAGCCTACATAGTGCACAGAAGGTCAGTATTATCCTTTATTATCAAACATAGGAATAAACCTATGTCTAATGTATGAGACCTGAAAAGTGAAAATATTTTACATGCCAAACTTAACTGCATAATAGGCTTAACAACCCTAACCCTGTCACCCTAAACAGATTCTTGGTGTACAAAATAATATTAATATCCAACATCCATGTTGCTATCCATGTATATAAACAAACGGAAGAACTGCCTAGTAGGACATTGATTCTTTCATCATAACCTCCGTATAGGCTCCTTTCTACAAAATGTTTTGGGTAGGAATTTAAAGATTCCAAACTCATACCTCTGACAAATGAGCTTGATATAACAAGGAATGCTTTCCTTATTTTCAAACAAGAATCACATAATGATTGGTTTTGGTATCTATTCCCTGCTCCAATTATTTGTCTCTTGTACTCTTTATATGTATTTTTCTGTCAATTCTTTAGCCGTAGATAGCAGTTATGTCATTTGGCCCCATAAGACGCATGTAAATAAGCCCAATATAAGCAAGAATGCATATGGTCTCATAATTTATTGTCCGATGTGAGACGAATGTGGTTTACCTTATGCCATGATGTGAACATGAGATAAACTACACTTACATTGCTGAAGTATTCTCCCATTTTCAGCCTTTCCTCACAAGTTCTCATACTACTGAAGTAATAATGATGAAATCCTTGGATTAAAATATCAGCAAAACCATTATCGGACTAATTTAATGGTCTGCTAATCTGCTATGCATGACGATACCTACAAAATTTATATGGCCATGAAGTAGCCTTCAACTATCTTCAAGTATAAAACCATTTTATGGTTTACACATCTGCAGGTACCATCTGATTTATTTTAGTTCATTAAAATTAGGAATACTTCGGAAACTGGTTCACCCAAGCTAACTGAACAATCTACTTCCTTGCATTCGAAGATAGCATAGCTAAATTGCTAATCTACATATGCAATCAGCAATTCACTAGAAAATTATAGACCCAAAAGGCTAAAAAATGGCAAGGGATAGGCCCAAAAAGACATAGTTGGAAGTAGTAAGAAAAGATATAGGAACTTATGGCCTCATTGAGGGTATTGACCCTTAATAGAGCAGAATGGCAGAAAAGGATTCGTGTAGCTAACCACAATTAATTGGGAAAAGGTTATCATGACGATGTCACTAGAAAATTATAAAAAGATTTGAGCTATAGTATTAATTAGTTGTAGATTCATTTTAGTTTACTAGTGCAAACCCAGTACAACACTTGTTAGGAAGTGCAGATTAGTTCAAGTGAAAGGCTCAAAAAAGACAAGAGATAGGCCCAAAAGGACATGGTTGGAAGTAGTGAAAAAAGATATGGGAACTTAAAGTTACATTGAGGGTATGGTCATTAACAGAGTAGAATGGCAGACCAGAATTCATGTAGTCGACCCCAATTAGTTGGGAAAAGGCTTTGATGACGATGATGATGATTTATTTTAGTAATACTAAAACCATAAAGACTTGGGAAACTAGTCTACCCAAGAAATATGAAAGACATCTTCCTTTCATCCAAAAGAGCAATTGCTAATCAACAAACAAAATCAGCAATTCCAGAAAAAAAAAAGGAGGATTTTAGCAACAATTGGTGGTATAAGAACCCTCATTAGACATGCCTAAATCAATTCACACCAGAGCAACTGCAATGCCATTGACATGTGAACAAAGTGACGTAAGTAAGATGTACCAGTGGCCTAATCTTCGAAACTTAACCACAGAGATCAGATATTCAAGCTGGGCAGTCTTTGACTAAGTTAAGGATCACCCATCTATAATGCTATCAAAAAAGGAAGGAACATTAAGAATGGCATATAAAAAAATGAATGAGATGTTTCAAGTGGAATGGCTGAATAGCAGGATTTGATCAGAAGCCATTGTGCGCTAACAAAGTCTACAGAAAGAATCACCCAACCGGAAAAACAGAAACTGCTGTGCACCAACAAAGTCTACAAGAATTACCTTGGGAGACCATAAAGAACAAGAATTGCAGAGACTTCACATCTCCGAGGTAACTTCTGTTGTTGAGTCTTCATACCTATAAGTTGATTGCCTCCTATCATAGGTCTCTTTAATATCTGGATCAAGAAGCAAAAGAACGAAATAAATACAAAATATTGCATGCTCTATTATTACGATGAAAATTAATTATACACATAAAAGATGATGAAGATCTTGCATACACTGCTGACTGTCTGCTCCTCTGATAGACATAAACCACGTGTCTCTGGCATGTGACGATGTCCCTGGGAAAGAGGATTTAATTTTAAAAACATAATTGACTTACTAAAAAGTATATAGCCGAAAGTATGGCACAATCCAATGGACTCCCAGAAAACCAGTCCATTTGATCAACATGGCCCATTGGAATGACTGAAGGCAATGAAGGGGGCACAGGCCCAACCACTCCAATCACATACCATTCTGGTCTCTCTCTCTCTCTCTCTCTCTCTCACACACACACACACGCACACACACACGCACACCCCTATCACTGTGGATAATTTCCATGGAAGGCGATGACCCAATTTACTGTGGTGACCATGGTTTTTCCATTGTCCACAGGATTGCCTTTCTAAAACAGATTACAGGATAATAAACAAAATTATTCATAAACAAAATTATCCATACATCTTTCTCCCCTTCCATGGCTTCATTAAGTGCTTGTCTTTCAACCATTAACATAGGAATTTGCTGGTCTAGTTTCATGTTCATTCCTTCATAATAGTCCCTTATTGCATGGTAAAGAGGCTGACAGTCACCAGTATCCATTACAGCAGAATCCAAGCACTCAAGACATAGACTTCGTCCATCTCCCAAAGAAATGTAACGTACATTCCTCGGCTTCCATACAAAAATAAAGAGAATATAACCATTAGCAGCTAGAATATTTTCATGTAGTGTACCATAAACCAAATGGACTATGGAATACCACAGTTTACAAGGTAATTCCATCTACTGAAATGATGGATGGTGATGGGGATGGTGATAACGAGAGAAGGATACACCAGAACAAGAAACCACCCAAATGGCAGGCACCATTCTCTCTCCATCACCATTGCGCATTTCAATGGATCACTCATTGAAAATCCAGTGGACTATGGTTTTCCCATAGTCCATCAGATTATAGTGTGCTTTCCCCAAAATAACTACAATTGAAAGACTGCATAAGTCTTTAAAATCTCTACCTCCATGCGTTCACAACTGCAACATCGAGCTGTCCTATCATACTCATGTGAGGGACAATATTTCTGTTGCCAGAATGGATGCGACCTATATTCAATCAAACCAGCTTTGTTTATTGGGATCTGCATGTCAGGGATAAGGTAAATCAATCGACAATGTTGTGAGAAGTTGCTAATAGATCATGTACAGCTTCTAGAAGTAATCACAAATAGAGAACACAAGCAGGTGAATACTGTTGCAAATTAATTTCATATATAACAAATGGCTAGAATTTAATGCATCATAATCATGTGGATTCTAGAGAGTGTAATGGTTGTGCATATAATGAGACGTTGAGTTCGTATGCTCAACACTATCTTAATCGATTAAACAAATTTTGTGCGCTCCACAATTCATAGTGCACCCAAACATTGTCTTCTACAAATAAATGAGGTATGCTCATGCAAAGCATAAGATCATTATACACCTCCAACTAGAGCATTGCATATAGACAATATTCAGTTCAGCCACATGCAAACATATTATTTGTAAAGCCTCCGATAACCAGGCAATTCATTCATAGTCTTGAATTGTGCTGCAAATATACTGTCATGTATCATATGTTCCCTGGGAAGGATCCTTGGAATCTACGGCCTGATAAAAAGGTGCAGGATGCTACAAATCCATAGTTATCTCCTCCACACCTCATCATCATGCATGCATGAATCTATCCATGGTAATACCAATAAATATTTCCCTTTTGAATAGTCTGAGAGCATAGTTCAAGAAAAAAAGCAGATTATGATAATTTTAGTTGGTTATATGGCAAGAAGATGGGCTATTTCGGAATATGGCAAGAAGATGGGCTATTTCGGAAACCAACCCACGTGTCCTTCCATTTCTTAGTGACAGTGCACAAGAAATGTGTAAAACCTCACTCATGCATTGAGCAGGCCAGTAAAGAACCCCAAGAAATGGACGGACTAGAAAGTGCCCAAGCTCAAAAGGAGCTCTCTTACCACCAATGTGAGTCTAGGATTGCACTCAAACTTTCATACTGTTCATACTTCATACTGTTCATAAATTGCACTCAAATAAATAACTTAGCAAGCACTCGTGAAAAACAGTCACCTCTCAAATCACAGTGTAGAAGATTAATCAAGCCAGTACATACATAAATTCAGCAGAAGACAAAGGGCCATAAACAGTGAGTTTATGGAATGATCATCTGCTAAACATATCCAGAGTGAAGTTTAAGCATTGGAAATCTGTAACCCTCTTGGAAAGAAACCAATAAAAGGAAAAAGAAAAAAAGAAAAAAAAAAAAAGACATGCAGAGACAATACAACAGCCCCCAGCTATAGCCAAATACTTGGGACATTTTAAAATGCTTGTATATCTGAGCATTATATTTCATATATCTCATTGAAGTAAGCATGCCCTGGGAACAGATCAAATTATATACAGATAAACTAGGTTTTGGCTGAATGTAGTGTTTTGAACACCGATTTAGCATATAGGCTTATCCAGAAACTAAGCAATAGGACCCCTAACAGAAGCCCCAATACGCAGCCTTTATGAAATTACAACTTCCATAGGATGACCAAAGCACATATTTCTGGAGATTGGATAACCTAGTAGAGTTTATATGGCAGTCACAAGGGAAGCATTCATATGATCAATCTTGTACACAGTTGTCTATGCTACTTCCATCCTAACCCTTATCAAGTACCATAAAATACATTCACGCAAAAGGCATAAAGGGAGTTCAGGGCAAAACAAATATAGACCAGACAACTTAACTACAAAACATAGAATTAACTACATAAAAAGAAAAACCAGTAAAGGCAGTTTTGAAAAAAAACATAGACCATATATAAAATTTTCTTACGAATTCACGGCAGACATCACATCTGGGATGATGCAGCTCCTTGTAACAGGACTTGTGGTAGGGATCATTCCCTGACAAAGAAAACTAAAAAAGGAACACTCTATTAGGCTAAAATTACTCAAATTTGTTTCAATAATTCAATATGAATAAGCTCCAGTGCAGTTCCACATAAGAATGTGGAACATTATTTTTTCTCTAACAAATAAAGCAATGAACAGAGTAACATACATTACATTATGAGGGCTGATAAAACTCATGCTCAATTCATACCTGAGGATCAGAAATTGGCTCCCCACAAGCATGACAACAAAAGCACTGGGGGTGCCATACAGCTCCCATGCAGCTTAGAAAACGCCCATAGCCAACTGCAGAATTGCAGCCAGCACAAATTCTGCAAAAGAAAAGGGCCCCTCATTTGTTCACTATGAAATGCAACATATCAATGCTTAAGAAGTGGGGGTGCTTTACATGATTTGCGATAGTTAGTATACACAAATCAGCATGAAATTTCCAACTTTTAAAACAGGTTCTTCAATAAATATTGTAACATATACATATGCGTAACTATATGTATACATGTCACGAGGATTCATGTAGCTGATCCCAATTAATTGGGAAAAGGCCATGATGATGATGATGATACATATGCGTAATGAATAAATTTGTAGCTTATTTTCATTATTTTATTATTTTACATTGTCATTTAGAATATGCATGTATATATATGTAGCTGGTAAGTTCTACCATCTTCCACACATGATTGATTTCAAACAAATGCCAATGTGCGTCTTACTCTCTCCATTTGTTGTACTTGTATATGTGCTCTCTACAATTAAACCGAACTTTTAATCCTTAATGCACAAACTTCAGGATAGAATTTTAGAAAACCTAAGGTTTCTTTTGAACAACCAGACATTTCGATACCCTCAGAGATCTATCAAGTGCACTCTTCATCTTGATCTCTAGTTTCAGCCGCCCTCATGTGACACTCAAACCACTCTCATTCTCAATGTTACAAGTAAACTAACCTGTTCTTCCTTGTGCTATGTAGTTTTCCTAGCAAACATGTGAACCAGAATTTATTCTCCTTTTTGATGACCAGTTTGTTCATACTAGTCCCCAACTTCCACGAAGTTCAAACACAAGCATGTCAGATGAACTTTTAAATCTATTTTTTTTTTTTGTCATCAATAAACTGTTTCTAAGAATTAACAGATAACCTGAAGGGATATTTCCTCTCCAAACCTATTGTTGAGGCATTAAAAATATTGCTACTTTGAAACTCAGTTCACTTTCTACTTCAGTCTCTATAATACATTTTCACACTTAGAAGGACGATTGGTATTTTTCAGACAACTAGAAATCTTTATTACAAATAAGAAATTGCGATTGTATACAATGAGACCATTTACCTTTGGTACAAGGATGTCACAATTACTTATAACCATCCGATGTGGCGTCAAAAATTCGAGAAAACTTCTTTTGAACTTTGAGCTTGGTCAATGGAATATTGCAGCCACCAATTTTACATTCAATAGTCAAGATTAATTGTGACCACCTTGTACCAAAAGTATCTCATGGTATACTTTTCCTAAGAAATTTCTCCTCATTTCTTAGGCTTCCACATGCAGGATATAGATTTGATGCACTGATGCGCCCAAGTGTTGATATCACCTAGAGGTTGGAGGCACGAAGTTGAGTCTTAAACTAACATTCCATTTCCTATAGCTAAACTATTATTAAATAGTTTATTGATAATATACTTAAATTACCTTGAACTCTCTATAGTATTAGCATTCCTTGACATGTAATTCAAAATGTACTTAATTTAACAACTTCTTAGAGTTGGAAAATGGATTGAATAGAACATGTGAACAAAAAAGTCTATATAAGGTTGCAACGTTATACTATAGAAGTAAGGTGCACCTCAAAATCCACAAGAAAAGAGTGTTCCGAAGTTGGAAAACCTTCCAATTGATCATCTTGACATCAAGATGTATGGATATAAAGAGAAAAAAGAATTTTAACTTTTCACGTGGAAACCTAAAGAAGGGTAAGGGCCAGGCCCAAAAGGATATGGTTGGAAGTAGTGAGAAAATATATGGGGACTAATGGCTTCCCAGAGGGTATGACCCTTAATAGAGCAGAATGAAAGACCTAAAAATAGTGTATCTCGTAACAAGTTATCTAGACTATCTATTTCAAAGATTTTGATCTACACTATTTTTGGAATTTTAAATTTCATATTGAACATGGATTTTCAAGTCATTGTAATGTTTCCGATACCAAAACTACATCTTCCGGCAAAATTTAGAGGTGTGCCTTCCTTATACGACATAAGGTGAACACCTTTACAAACCTCACCCATATGTGAATGCATAAATGTTCGCATTGTTATTTTTCCTAAATATATATACAATTAGTAGAGTGTGAGGTGGTTTACAAATTTCATATAAAATTAAAATTATAAAATTAAAAATAGATGTCAACCATTAAAGAAAGAATGTGACGGTGAAGAATTCCCTTGGTTTCATGAATCAAGAAAGTGACAATAAGGTAACCTTTGCTGAATTGTACTTGCACGAAGCCTCAGTCAAGTATAAAGTTCTTACATAGACACATAACTCACATAACAAAGTATCTATCAAATCAACCTCAGCCAAGTCAAAGTAAAGCTATAGAAGGTGAATAATTCCTTTGATCAGGTCGCATTTTTCATGGAAACCGATAATTTACAAATTTATAGGACTCTCCAAGAGGTGTGCAAGAATTCCCATGATCCCTTGAAACTTCAATTCTCTATTTGCAGCAAATAATGCAAACCTTGCCCAAACTATGATTATTAAGTATTAGATTTCCTACTCGTATATATGGAGATTTTTTCTTGAGAAATGTTTACTGGTTGTATATAAAGAGATATTTATCTACAATCCTAAACATAAGACTATATTTCCTATAAACTTAAACAAAACAATAGAGTCCCAATCCTTGAGAACAAGTTATAGTAAAGATATTTCCTATAAAAATGTTTGCAATACTTTTTAAAGAGTGAGTTGAAGAAAGTAACCTATATCCCCTAGGATAATAGTAATGAGGGGTGTATGGATTATATGAAGGCGACATATTCAAGCTCTCTTGAAGGGCTCTTGCGAGGTCTTCATCATTATCTGCATGTCTTCTATAATCTTCATCATTACCTGCACGTCTTCTACAACCTACAACAATCCCATAAAAAACTAACATACTTAATATCACATTATTACCCTTCCAGCTGGTTGACTGGGATGCGTGCGATAAAAGGCTTGGGCTTAAGGGGGTACAAGGCGTAATATAGGATCATGCACAAGGCGTAACAATTTTGTATTAATTTAAAACAAGAGCTGGTTTTGTAAACATTTTAAAAGCTGAGGTTGCTTTGTTAGTTTTCCCTCATGTCAAGTGCTCTACATAAGTTAGGAAAAGGGCAAAGCTACAAGAATGAGCTAAATCATAGTTGTGGGAACCATGCCGGGATCGGGATCAGGAGTGGGAGATATGGTTTGAAGGGGTCAGAGAAAATCACATACATACGAGTCATGAAATGCTAGAAGATCCCTATGGTTGGGAACGCCATCCGTATAATGCACATATTAGAGACCGAGATCCCCAAATGTTAGGGATCAAATACCAACTTTTTGGGGATCGTAATCTCAACCTTTTGCTTTCTTGATCCCAACTCTTTGGGATCTCGCTACCAACCTTAAAGAGTATGATAATCTAGGATTATGTATACGCTTCAAAGTAGGGATCTCATTATTTATAGAAAGCAAGCAATGCAACTATAAGAAAAGTATATTTGTGCTGCTAGCTGGTTATAAACAAAGGAAATCATCAGTTTAGTTGTTGACTTCGTCTTTAAGGTTAAGATCGAGATCCCTAGTAGCAGGAATCGGGATCCCTATCAATGAGGATCAAGATCCGAATATTAAAAATCAAGATCCGTTCCGGGAGCAACAGAATCGAGATCTCTGTATTTCTACCACATTTTTTAACCTATTAAGAGACTCACAACACACCTGTTGGCTTTCTCAAATCATCAGCTAGAGGGAGTGCTAAACCATGGTCTAGATCCTCATTCTTGGCTCTATCACCATCACCCTGGCATGAGTATAGACAATGTAGGGTTATACAGCCATAAAAAACAAGTCACATATGTGAGACGAGAGAGAGCCAAATATCCTATAAAATCGTGAATGAAGATACGTCATCGTCGTTTTAGTGCAAATAAGACTTTATGTAGTCTATTACTCGATAGACTACATAAAGCGGGATTCAAGCCCATAGCTCAACTGCAATGTTGTTGTTGCACATTTGATGTTGCCATTTCAAGACCGATTTACCAATTGAAAAAACGAAAATAATCTACACAAACTTAATAAAGATGTTCAAAAGAAGATAAATCCTTTCAGGGCGTAGGAAATTTCAATAAGCACATTAAGCTCCATGACTTGCGAAGAATCAACATCGATGTATATGTATCTCAATAATAACATAGTACTCTCTTAAGAGTCATGCTCCAGGAACCTATACAGCATGGCAGCTCAATGCATTTAATCGACTTAAGCCTTTGTCCTTCTACTATCCAACACATCCTAATTGTAACCATGTTAAATAATAAGGCTCAGAAGTTTCTTCAAAACCAAAAGCATACTTGTGGTGGTAATCCTTCATAAGCAAAGATCAACAATTTGAGATACGTAGAGAAGAGAATAAATGGAAGTGAAATTACTACAGAACCAGTTGGAGCACGCCAAACCATGTTTTCATCACTAATGACTCTTGGGTGATGACCATTTGAGATCTTCTGGTTTGATCCTTTAAAGAACTTGCTAACCCATTTCATCAAGCTAGACTTCTTCAGAGCATATGATGGACCAAGGTGACCTGCAAAAATCAAGAAAATCACGTGACTAAGAAGATAGTCAACAAAACTCAAACCATGGAAGAGCTTTTGATGACGACTTAGAGACGTCCATGACCAAATAAAATGTGACCTCGCATGTGCCCTACTAGGCTGCCATTATCATGTAATAGCTTTCCACATTGTTTGATGTGGGTGAAATGTCAGTTGCCCTAAGCGAAACCAAATCATCCACTTCTACCAACAAACAGTGATATGGAAAAAACCAAGAAGATAACAGAATTACAACTGAAACCCCTAAATCTCTCAATGATGCCCAAATAATTATTTTGATATCGAGAGTTACCAAATTATGACTTCATCAAGAACAATACAAGCATTGAATGCACAGATGCAAGAAAAAGAAGGAACAAGACATTCCAAACCCATCCTTGGGCATTCTACAATGATCTAATGAACCATCATAAACTCAACATCTACAAATATTCCTAAGAAGTTCTTCTATCCCAAACAATAAAATGTTGGCCATAGTGAACTTGATCCTTATCAGCAGTGTTACATGGATACCGAAACAGGTGTCATGTCTATTACGTGTCTCAAGTGTCTAGTACTTCAGCTTAGAAACCCAGTATAGCCCCAACACATCCATAAAATACTTATATGTAAATATTTTTTATAAAAATAATAGATAAATTATAAAAGAATTTTAAAAATAATAAATAGAATTTTAAAACTAAATAAATATAAAATTTGAATATAAATATGCAACAAAGCTAAAAATATATGCTTATTGGAGTTTATTTTTTTTACAAAATGTGTGTAAAACATTTATTGTAGTTGTTTTGATATCACTATTTATATTTATCATGGAACGATGTAAGCTCAAATCTCGCAAAAAGTAATTTGCATTTAGAAAATAAATACAAACCATATTGACACTTGAAATAAGGTATGTTAAGTCCCTATGGGACTATGTTGACATCTTACTCCATGTGGGTTAACAACTTACTCCTTATGGGACTATGCATTTAGAAAATAGAAATCAAACCATATTGGCAGTGCTTTTTTATTTTTGACTCCCATGTGAGAAGTATTGTACTAAAATAGGTGTTCAATTATTTTTTATTGTCTTCGGAATCTAGTGTGAATCACAGATCACCTATTTCTACTTTCTGTGTGTGGGATATGTATTACATTTCTACATTATACATCACAAGTACGGCTGACGGCAGGGCGGCTAGTATTTTACTTCCACAATAAAATGTCGTGGGTTCAAACAACATGAAAAAAAAGAACCACCCATTTATTGGGATGCATATCTCGGTGGCTGAGACACATCTATTAATCATGTCGTGTCAATACAGCATGCCAACAAAAAATATCTTGTGTGTCAGTCCCATGTCAAAGCGTGTCGACACATGAACATGCAATACAAGAGAAAATTTGAGGTGTCAGGTTAACACTGCTTATCAGGAGAAATAACTTTTATACAATGAACGAATTGCATATTTAATATCTTAAAAATGGTTGTAAAAGGACTAGTTAAGGCATCATGGCATTTAAGGTGACTGCCACAGTTATGCTACGAATGACATAGGTATTATCCATTTGGCCAAAGAAAATTCAACCATAATCAATAGGAGTATGCTATACAGTACTCCAAGGAAGCATCCCATACCATCCCAATGAGACATGGTGGAGATTAACTGTATCTTGGCCTTGGTGAGTGTCCATATGGGCCCACTATTCTTAATCTCCACTAACAATCTACAATGACAGTGGATGCCCCATGAAGCACCATAAACCTTCTGCATTGGGTTATGCTATACCTTCACGGCTTTACTTTTGGTAAAGGTGGGAATAAGCATCAACATTTTGAGCCTTTCTCTCCCTTCTTTTTTTTATGATTAAGTTCCTCACTCGATGTGAATATGGATTTCACCTATGATAAGATAAATAACATAAAAAGCTAGGACCTGAAACTGCAATAATGCATAATTGAACCCACAACAAGAAGCAAGCAAGAGGATAGTCAATGTGCATTTTCAGTCCTCTGCAAAAATCAATCCAATAGAGGAGTATATTCAACACAAGGCCACTGGAATAACATAGACAAGCTAGTCTGAAAGGTTAAAAATACAGATTGAAAGGTTAAAACAAACAATTTAAAACAAACAAAACCAATATCAATAAGAATGAATAACTACCATTCTTATGAAACCAGAACCCATTTCAGTTCAAACCATAATTAATAACCAATTCTTTTCCCGATCAATGACATTGTACAGGATATGGATAATCAGCTTAAACAATGCTCAGAAAATGAACTGCCTCTTTTATGGATAAAAATTTCAGTTCAGTATTCACCCAAAAGGGGGAAAAAATGATCAGCCTTATACAAAACCTACGTTAGAGTCACTGGGAATCCACAAGAGAAGTATGCAACAAATCTAATAAATAAATTCTTCAATCTCATATAAACTGACCGTTCAAAAAGTTATGACAAAACGACAACTATTTCTGGTCATGTGAATGAAAATAAAACGCTAATTTTGCCAAGCAATAATAGCAGCTTGTTCAGATTTCATTGAAATGCTGAAAAAATTCCAAACAGCAGTGAAAGAAAGCCATGACCAAATATTAGACCCGCAATTCAAATATACCGACAATCTATGCTCAAAAAAAAAAACATTAAATCCATGAAATTCAAGAACAAAGAAAGGAAATAAGGGATTTCAAATGCGAAGAGAGATAAAAGCGTACCATAAATGCAGGGCTGAACAATTTGGTTCACTTCTGAAGAACCCATTAATTGCAGAGAAAAATGATTTCCGGAAGAAGAAAGAAGTGGAAATTTTAGGGCAAAAGATGCTGAGAATTAGGGTTTTGATTGGAGCTTTTTCCAGCAAAGGGGAGGGAGAGTGATGGGGCTTCTTCATAAGCATGGGATTTGAAGGCATTTTGGAGGGCTAAGCTAGAGAGAGAAAAGAAAGGAATCTTGAGAAGGTGGAGAACAAGCAATCCTTGAGAGGAAAAAGAGCAGAGAATCTCTCTCTTTCTCTAAGGACTGAAAAAGAGGAGGAGCACATTGAACGGAGGAGGTGAAAAGAAAGAGAAAAAGCAGGTTTTAGAAGAGAGAAAGAATCAGGAGAGGGAGTTTGAAAAAGTGAGAGAGGGAGAGAGAGAGATCAGAGGAGGGAGTTTCAGAGGTTAGAGAGAGATAATCGGAAAGTTAGAGAGAGAGAAATGTAAGTGAGAGAGAGATCGGCGTGAGTTTGAAAAGTTAGAGAGAGAGAGAGAGAGAGAGAGAGAAATCGGAGAGTTAGAGAGAGAGAAGGGAGAGTGGAGAAGTCACATGGATTATCTAGG